CGCACCTACGCCCAGATCTGCCGCCTGCGGGAGGCGGCCCGAGCTCGGCCTGACGCCAACCTCACCGCGGCGCACCCGGGGCCCTGCGAGGCGGGTACGCGCGGCCCGGGCCCCACCCTCGGGACGAGGGCTCCCCAATCCCGGCGGCGACAACCTCTGGCTAGCGGAGCAGCAGGAGGAGGGCAGGGTGGCCTGGCGTCCTTGGGGACCCTCTCTCCCTCGGTTCCTCAGATGCGGCCCCGAGCTTAGTCTGCAGGTTCTCCCCAGAGCCCTGGATCTGGCCAACAGCTGCCTCCGAGTAGAAAGACCCCTCAGTTGTCCCCCAGACCGCTGAGCCGGGCAGCGGGACGGGCTTCCGAGAGATCAGGTTTCATCTGGGCGCGCGCTGAGAGCCCTCTGTTTACGCGTTTGGGGATGACTGAAAGGGGCGCAGCATTTTCGCTCCCCCACCCTCCTCCCTCAGGAACAGGGTCCATTTCAGCCTGCAGTTTTCTTTGGCAACCCACAGCGTTCCCTTTCTGAGCCCCTCCTCGGGGTCTGGCTTGGCTGGGGCTGCTGGGGAAAACAAACGTGCCAGCAATTTCCCCCAGTCCTCCAGGCTTCCGCCGGCGCCTACTTGCAGGTTCTTGGCTTGGCTCTGTGTCCCAACCTCCCTCTGCCTGCCTGCCCGGCGGGAGGTGGAGGGCGCTGGGGAGCTGGGCTGGGCTAGAAAAGGAGGAAGGGGAGGGAGGTGTTGGTTACCCGCACCGCAGGAAGGGGGCCCCCGAGGGTGAAGTGAGGACAGGAGGCAGGCAGGGACAGAGTGTCCGCTCAGCTCAGGTGCGGCGCTGTGCGCTTGTTCGTACACGTTGTCTGCATGTGCTCTGTTGTGTACACGTGTGCATGTACCTCCCGTGTCTTGTCGGTACCCTTGTTCCTACCTGCATCTACTTTTATGTGCCTGTGCACGTGCCGTGTCTGCGGATGTGTACGCGCCTCACACAGAGCGTGTTCCCACAAGCGTCCCCTGTCACTCCTACTCGGCCCTGTGGGGCTGGGTGCACCATCCTGCTCTCCGCCTCTCCCCTCCCCCAGAGCCCCAGATCCTGTCACAGCCCCACGACGTTTGGAATGTGACAGGGCAGGATGTGATCTTTGGCTGTGAGGTATTTGCCTATCCCATGGCCTCCATTGAGTGGAGGAAGGATGGCTTGGACATCCAGCTGCCAGGAGACGACCCCCACATCTCCGTGCAGGTAGGGGCAGGGGGCAGAAGCTTCCTGTGGGTCAGCCTAGGACTCTTCAGAATTACCTTACTGACTCTACACCTGGCTTTAGTTTAGGGGTGGGCCCCAGAGGTTTGAGGTAACCAGCTGGCTGCAGATCCAGGCTGTTCGACCCAGTGATGAGGGTACCTACCGCTGTCTCGCCCGAAATGCTCTGGGTCAGGCTGAAGCCCCTGCCACCCTGACTGTGCTCACTCCCGGTAAGGAGGCGCCCTGAGCCCTGGGGGCTGGGTGGATGGTGCAGGAGAGGACCCCTGAGTGAGTGTGTAAGAAACGTGAGTGTGCAGGTGGGTGTACACACAAGCACGGCCGTCCACAGATGCCTTCTCTCCTGTGCCATGGTGTTTGCAGACCAGCTGAACTCTACAGGCATGTCCCAGCAGCAGTCCCTGAGCCGAGCACCTGAGGAGGAGGCCGGAAGTGAGGAGACCGAGGATTACTACTAGGTCCAGATCTCTGGCCCATGGTGGACGGGTGGGGACAGTGCTCACCCCGCCTCTTGAGAAGGCCTGGAAAAGACCTGGAAGGGGCCAGCAGGCCTCCTCACGGATTGCTCGGATGCTCCTGGTGGGGTGATCGTGGTGGTGGTAGGGGACAGGCAGTTGGACAGTGGTAGGGAGAGGGCAGAAATGAGGGAGGTGGGGTGCCAAAGGCCTGTGCAGAAGATGCCCTGGCTCCAAAGATCTCCATAGCTGCTGCTGGCAGTGCTGGCTGGGGTCTTGAGGATGCCCCTGTGCCTGCAGCTGCCCTCCCTCCTGCTCTGCTCAGCCGTCTCTTCCGCCTGCCCATCCTCACAGACCCTATTCCTCCGTTATCTTCCTGCTACTCCACTTCTGCCCAGTGGCAGTTTACCTGCCCTCAAAACGCATGTTCCGCTTTCCTCCTCCCCCAGGCCTGCTTGGCTTACTAAACGCAGTTCATGCTGCTCGGCCCCTGCGCTACTGTGAGAGCGCGCACCAGAGTGTGTTTGGTTCGGTGCAGTGAGGGGTGGGCCTGCTCCAGCCTCACACCCCCGTGCAGTGGGCACACAGGACTAGGCACCCTAGGCACCAATAAAGATGAAGAAACCACCACAGCTGCAGACAGTCCTTGCAGGTGTGCAAGCCAAGCCGGACACCCCGGGGGCCTCTGCACAGGACTCCTGCTCTCTGGACAGGGCCTGTGGCCGCCCCTGGGGCTGGCTGGTGGACATGGAGTCCCAGGCCCCTGTGCAGGGTACTCTTGTCTCCTGTCGGGCGGAGGGGGAAACCGGGTGTACGTGGGTGGGCCCCACATGGAAGCATAATGGAGAGGAGAGGAGAAGTGGGACACACCCTGCGCCGCTCCCAAGCAAGCTACAGTTCTGCAGTGAACCCACAGTGCCGGGAGCCTATTCCCTTCTGCCCCAGTTGTGAGCCGTCCTCCTGACTGGCTGTCCAACTCTCTCCCCGCGTTCTCCTGACCAAGTCCAGCAACACCAAGGAGACCTGGCAGGTTGCAGGGGAGAAGAGCAGCGCGCTCTGCGCGCTGTGCTGTGTGGATGGCGGTGGCCTCCCAAGCGCTGGGCCCGGCCCCGGCTGGCGCCACGGGGTGGGCGTGGAGAGGGACTGCGGCTCAGCGTCTGAGCGTGTCCTCTGGGAACTGGGGACGTGGTCAGGAACCCTAACCGCGGCTGGGCACCCCTCCCGCGCTGTCCGCCCCCCAGCCTGGCCGCACGCCTGGCCAGAGGACGCTTCCGCTTGCGGACCTGGACTGGAGCCGGCGGCCCCAGGAGCTGCACGCGACTGCGGTGGCGGCTCGGGCACTTGGAGAGAATTCCAAGCGACCTGGGGGGAGCAAGAACCGGGTTGGGGTTGGGGAGGGAGTGCTGGGGTTGCATTGGAGCCAAGGGCCGGTCAGCTACGCATGGCGAGCGGGGAGAGGGGACGCGGGTCTGCGGGGTGCTGCAGAGCCCGCTGCGGGCCCAACCGGCAGACCACACGGCACCCACTCCCAGAACGGAGGCCCCTCGTCGCCCGAGGCCTGGCGACCCGAGGGTGACCGGGGTCCCTCGAATCTGTCCTCCTCGATCGCATTTGTAGGCCTTTCCTCAGCAGCCTCCTTGCAGCCTCAGTTTCCCCGCCGCCGCCCTGCTGGCGGGAGGAGCCCCTGCTGGCCCGCAGCCGCCCGCGCCGCAGCGGATGGGCTTTAATAACGCCGCTGCAAAGTGACACGCGATTTATTATTAAAGTAATGCGGGCGCGGGGACGGGAAAGGTTTAATAAACGCGCCGAGATGCCGAGGATTATTCACTGCAAATAAATGAGAGCGCGGGCGGCGTTTTAATAAATAATTTCCCGCCGCTCCCTGGGGGGAGAGGGGGAGGGCGAGGCGGCGGCTGCCGGAACTCTGCCCCGGCTCCCGCTTTGGTCCTGGGCGTTCGCGTCCCGACGGGGATGTCCGGGAGAGCCCAGGCGGAGGAGCCGCTCCGGCGGAGCGGGGGAGGTCCAGCCCGCCCGCCGCGCCCTCCACCGGCGGGTCTTAGGTGGTCTGCTCGGGATGCCCCGTCCACTTCCTCCTGGCTCGGATGCGGTCCAGACGCAGTCCGTGGGGCAGTCAGGATGGCGCCCAGCACCCCCAGCCCAGGTTTCCCGGGCCGAAAGGGCGGGCTGTCCCCCATCCCAAGTCCGGTGGCCCAGGCTGGGGTCGTCTCTCGTGCAGGACAGGCCTGAGGGGCGGGCTAAGGGGCTGTGAGCGCGGTTACCGGTGTGTGCCCGTGGCCCCGGCTCTGGCACCCTCCCGGGCCTCGTGGGGAATGAGCGAACCGACGCCGTCCGGGCTTCGCCCCGCGCGCCGCGGAGGCCCGGGCCGGTTTCGGACGCGCGGAGCCGGAGCCCCCAGGGAGCGGGTAGCCCTTCCAACAGAAGCCTGGAGGCCCGAGAGGACGACCCTGACTTCGGAGAAGCCCAAATCGCAGACTCTGGGGACCTTGGACGCTCCGGGGAGGGAGGGGTGTAGGGAGACTGCCCGGGTCCACCTGACTCCCCAAACGTTGCGCCTTAGCCAAAAAAGCGACATCTCTGGCAACGCTTGGAAGTACAGGAAGTGTGGGAAGGGTGCCATCTGGTGGACGTTTCTGGTAGCGGCAGGCTGGCTGGGCCAGGGCCTTTGTGAGTTTTTACTTGATTGGAAAAATCTGTGTATGAGAGGTTCGATTTGTGTTCATTTAGTGTGTGTGAACGTGCATTATACATACGATAAACATCTATACGTGATACCTAAAGTAATGTCTATGATATGTGTATAGTGGTTATACGTATGCTTAGCTATATGTATATATATATGTGTGTAGGTATGTCACACTACATATGTGACTACAGGTAAATAAGCTGGTAAGCAGGTAGCCTGTAGGTGTTTGTATGTGTGTACTCAGCATTGTGTATATGAACATATCATATATTTGTATGTATATACATTTGTCAGTATGTACATTATTTTTCTTCTACAAGTTCTTGTTATAGGGCCATTGTGGGGCTGGGGGTGCATCATGGGAAAGATAGTCCCTGCCTGGTGGAGTCTGCATTTTAGTCTAAGCGTGTGTGTGAGTGTGTATATCCTTACAATACGGGGGTGGCGTAGATACTGTCTCCTTGATCAGACACAACACCTGGCCCCCAAAACTTAAAGGAGGAGGGTTTGTTTTGGCTGTGGTTACAGTCCACGGTCACCTGGCTCAGGACAGGACAGCACGGCAGAAGGACCTAGTGGCAGAAAGCCGCTCAGGACATGGGCAGAGAGAAGGGTGAAACCGGGGAGGGAAATCTACTCTTGCTGGTCACTCCGGCAGTGACCGCTGTTCTGGCCCAGCCACCTCCTAAAGGAAAGTCAGCCATAAGCCGCCCTGGTTCAGTCCAAAAGCCTCCCCACGGGTGTATGAAGGTTGGGGTGCTGTTCTTGGTCTAAACCATACCAGTGGGGGTGCCCACAGGACTGTGTGCATATGTACACGTAAGTGCATGTGTGTGCGGGAAGGACAGACAAACTCTGGTGGGTCGCAGATACCTTGGTTTTTGTTTGCTTTGTTTCGTTTTGCAGGGTGCTAGGGATTTGAACCACAGCTTTATGCTCACTAGGCAAGTGCTCCCCCACTGAGTACACCTCCACCCTTTTTATTTTGAGATAGCGTCTTGTTAGGCTACCCAGGCTGGCCTCCAATTTTCAGTCCTCCTGCCTCAGTCTCCTGAGTAGCTGGGATTGCAGGTGTGCACAGTCACACCCAGCAGTGCCCTAGCTCTTCCTTCAGAAGCCTGGGTCCTGCGGCCTAGAACTCTACTCTGAGTGTGCAGGTGACTGAGCCAGAGGAAAGGAGGCTGGAGACAGGCTGGTGATCACCTGGACGCCTTCTGCCTGTGGGCACAGCCCTCTCGAGGGCTATGTTCTTTCCACACAAGGCACAGCCACGTAAGCGGCGGAGGGTAAGGACAGTTGCTGCAGCCCAAGCCGCAGCCCTGCTCAAGGCAGAGAACCTTGAGGGGAGGGCGATAGGCTAGGCGGGCGTGGGAGACGGGAGGCCGGGGGCCATGGCGGAGGCAGTGTTGGGGTCACTTGGAGACTGGCAGGGGCTAGACCTGGGAGGCGGTGAGTGGGAGTCAGCCGCAGACAGCACGGTGGATTGAGAACCTTGGGGAAGGGCAGTGTGGGGTCAGGAATGAAGCTGGGCTGGGGAGCAGAGAAAGAGGCTCTGGGAGCAGGGACATGGCAGACCGGGGTGGAGCCTGGAAACCAGCTCTGAGGAGTCACCCTACTTTCCCTGTGCTGGGCTCTAGCTTCCCTAGTCTTCTCTGCTCGAGCTGGGGGCAGAAGGGGAGCGTGGGTTTCAGAGCTTGGCCTGGCTTAGGTGACTCACTGGTAGGCGAGGTGGGGCAGGCTTACAGCACCAGTGTCCCATGAAGCCTCGTCCCACCATCTGGCTAGTTGCCTGCCAGCACATGGCAGCTCCCAGGGGCTCGGCCAAGGGTGGGACGAGGTCCTGAAGATCGTGGGACACCCTCCCCCACTTCCCAGGTCAGAATGGGAAGGTGCGTCCTCCTGCCCTCCTCCTGCTGGGGGGCGTCCAGTGGCCCCAGTCTTTGGACTGCAGCAGCCCCTCACTGTTCCCTTGCTCCCTTCTCACTCTCCCGTGCCGACTACTTCACCCCAAGCCACGGCTCCCTTCCCTGCCGGTTCAGTCCCTCACCGCTCTCTCCCTCCCCTCGGTCCCTCTTCTTCCCAGGACTGAGCCCTCGTCTGGCTGGACTGTGTCCTCACTGGCCAGGAGGAGGCAAAGGCACAGACTAGGTCCTGGCCTAGATTTGTGTTTGACATTTTACCACCATCTGAGCAACTGAAGCCTTTTCGGGCAGAGCAAATGGTTATGGATGTGCAGTCTTGGTGACACGTGTTACCCCACGGTCAACTCTCACCCCATCCCTCGGGAGGGTGGACTTGAGGTCTGGTGTCACTCAGGAGAAGAGGTGGGCTCTGTCAGAAGTGACAATGGCTGAGGGATGAGATGGAGTCTTTAGTCCAGGTTGGAGTCACACTCCTGATCTTCCTGCTTCAGCCTCCTGAGGGCCAGGATTGCAGGTGTGCACCAGGATACCTATTTTGGGGGCACTTTCTTCACCTCCCTTCTGTGTGCCCCTCTGCAAGACAGCGATAACACTTCCTCCACCATGATTATGGATCCCATGGGTGACGCACTGCAAACACAATAAGCATTCGGTCAGTGGGCCGCCTCACCCTGATCTGCACGGAGGGGGTGGCACCCGTGCAGGACTTCAGCCTGGAGTGTGCGCTGGCCAACGCGGGCCTGGGCCTTGGGAATAGGGGAGGGTGGGGATGGGCAGGGGCTAGACTTTCCTGGCTCAGCAGCCTTCACCCCCAGCCCCCGCAGGGAGCCCCTGTCGGAACTAGGGCTCTAGGTCTGGCTTGCGGGGAGGGGCATCCCCCAAACTGGGGTCCATCCATCTCTCTTATCTGGGCTGCTGAAGGGCTGGCGCTCCAGTGGGGCCTCTGACGGGGAGCAGATACAGACCAGGCGGAAGCAGCGGAACAGTGCTGAGCAGGAGCTGAG